AATGCATAAAGGCTGCTAGGACATTGGTCAGCCCAAATGACATAACAAGGAACTTATAATGACCATACTGAGTCCTGAAAGCAGTCTTCGGGATATATGGCTTCCGAATCTTCAACCTATGGTAACCTGAGCACCAGTCAATCTTAGAAAACACCCGTGCACCCTAACGCTGGTCAAGCAAATCATCAATACGAGGCAAAGGATAACGGTTCTTAACTGTAACTTTGTCCAACTGGTGATAATCAATACACATACGCATAGAACCATCTTTTTTCTTCACAAACAAGACAGGAGCACCCCAGGGTGATACACTAGGCCAAATAAAACCCTTATCAAGCAATTTCTGTAACTGATCCTTCAACTCTTTCAACTTAGGAGGAGCCATACAATATGGAGGAGTAGAAATTAGCTGAGTGCCCGACAATAGATCAATGCCAAAATCAATATCTCTATCAGGCGGCATGTCAGGAAGATCAGCTGGAAATACATTGAGAAAATCCCGTACTACTGGGACTGAATTAACTGAAGGGGTATCAATATTGACATCTCCCACATAAGCTAAATACGCATCACACCCCTTCTCAACCATACACTGAGCTTTAAGAAAAGAAATAAGTCTACTGGGAGTGTGATCTAAAATACCCATCCACTCAACACGCGGTACACCTGGCATAGCCAGCGTCACAATTTTGGCGTGACAATCAAGAATAGCAACCAGTCCATGCCCAAGATAATGTCAAAATCTACCATGCTAAGCAACAATAGATCGTCTCTGGTCTCAAAACCACTAAGAGCAACCAAACACGACCGATAGATGCGTTCCACAACAAGAAAATCTCCCACATGAGTAGAAACATAAACAAAGGAACTCAAAGAATCTCGATATACACCTAAATGAGGAGCAAAATAAGAAGACACATAAGAATAAGTGGAGCCTGGATTGAATAGAACCGATGCATCTTTGTGACAAACCAGTATAATACATGTGATGACAGAATCTGAGGCAACATCCTCGGTACAGGCAGGAAGGGCATAGTATCGGGCCTGGACTCCCCCTCTAGGGCGACCTCTACCTCCCAGTCTCCACCTTTAGCTGGCTGAACAGGTGGGGTAGCAACTGGAGCTGTAACCATATCCTGAGAACTCTGCTGGGCACACTGTGGCTGAGAAGTCTGTGGAGGTGCACCCCTCCCAAGTCTGGGGCAATCCCTCACCATATGACGTGTGTCACCACACTCAAAACAAGCTCTAGGAGGACGTGGTAGTGGAAGATGTGCGGTACGGGTACTCTAAGACCCCTAAACTCCTGAAACACCGTGTGAAATCTGAGATGCAAACTGAGCTGTCTGACCCACAAAACCTCTACCATGATGTACTCTTACTCCAGAATAAGGACCAGTGGGTCTCTCTAGTCTACGAGGTCTCCTTACTTCCCTATACTCTCTATCCTGACCTTATCTGTTCTCTCTCTCCTAGACCCACCCGTCCTCTACTCGGCGAGAGGTCCTCACCACCCGTTGAACTAGGATCACAGGCTGTGTCACTATGACACCTGGAACCCGACCAATGAGAACTCGCTGCCCTGGAGTGGGGGTAGCAGAATTCTGGGTCCCTTCCTGATCTGTAAGGTAGTTGGTTCAACCTGAATCAACCCCGCCTGAACTAATGTACCAAATATGCTTAGGAACCATGCTAATGTCTCCTGAAGTGATGGAGCAGTAGTAGTAGTAGGCGCATCTGGTGCCTGAACTCCGTCTGGAACTGCTGGTGGCACTTCGGTGGTAGCTCACGCAGGTGCTCTGGCTGCACCACATGCGTGTCCTCGGCCTCTACTCCGGCCTCGACTTCTGGCAACTCTCACATGGGCGTGGGTGCCTGATCATCTCTGGTAGCACGTGTCCTCACCATCGGTAAGAGAATAGAAGATAGAAGTTCAGAATTGTGATGTCAAAATATCACACGACAAGGAAATCAAATAAAGTGGAATTTTCCTAACAATTACATAGCCTCTCGTAGATAAGTACAGACGTCTCTGTACCGATCAACGAATCTCTAATAAATCGGCTTGTGATCCATGACTCCTATGAACCTAGAGCTCTGATACCAACTTGTCACGACCCCGGTTTGCCCTCCATGAACCATCGTGATAGCACCTAGTCTCTACGACTAAGTAAGCCTAAAATGCGGAAGATAAACCAAATTTGTGGAAGAAAACCATTTAAAACAGAAATATAGTAATAAAACAACGTTTAAAAGTGTCGCTCGGCATACACAATATTAACTCTTAAAACCAATACATTTTCCTAAAACCCGGAAACTCATGAATCACAAGCTAAGAGATACATAAGAAGCTCTAACTCCAGAAATGTCTAACCAAAAGAGGAATACTGAAGGGCTATACTATTACAGAAAGATAGAAAGGGACTCCTCTGTCTGCGGATGCGGCAGATATACCTCGATGTCTCTATAGAAGCGCCTCACCTCAAGGATGATAAGACATAGTGAAATACCTGGATCTGCACATGTAAAACATGCGCAGAAGGGGCATGAGTACACCACAACAGTACTCAGTACGTGCCAAGCCTAACTTCAGTCGGGTGGTGATGAGGAAGGTCAGGGCCCTACTGAGGTTAAATAAAATATAAGGTATAATAGTGTAGAATAAGACCGTATAATTAAGTGCAACAGTAAGAAATAACACAGAATAGAAAGAACAACACCAACTAGGATAGAGATAAAATAATCACGGAAAGGAAATACAACTCAACACAGAGATAACAACCAGGGTACTTTCCAGGATACCGTTCTGTAGTCCCAATTACATCTATTCAGTGGATCTCGGGGACACCGTCCTGTAATCCATCATATATATCCGAAGGATCTCCCGAGATCCCATCCCGTAGTCCAACTATCAGTGCGTAGGGATCTACCGAAATCCTGATCTGTAGTCCCAAATATAAATACTCAGTGCTGGGGGAATCTACCGGGTGTAGTCTCGTAGTTCCATATACTGTGCTGGGGAATCTACCGGAATCCCACATCCGTAGTACCAAATTAATAGATAAGAGGGAATCTACCGAAATCCCACATCCGTAGTCCCAAATAAACAGACAAGGGGGATCTACCGGAATACCACATCCGTAGTCCCAATGTAAATACACAGCAGCAACAGGAAAATATTCAGAAATGGCCAATTTCATATTAAGGCACAAGTAATTTTAGCTTAGCATGCTGCACAAAATTCAGGTAAGGCAGTTTGAGCAAATAAAACAATTAAATCACTTAGACATGCTTTCCTAAGCTAACAACAGGCTTAATAGTGCGAGTAATAAAAACAAGAAAAGAAACATACTAGTAATTACTTAATGAAAACTAGATTTCCAACAATTAGCATAAGTACGCACTCGTCACCTCACGTACAAAGTATTTCAATTATCAAATATACCAAATCCTAAGGAGAAAAGTCCCCTACACAAGGTTAGGCAAGCCACTTACCTCGAACCGGCTCAAAATCAACCCGAAACTACGCTCTTTCCACGAGTACTCAACTCCAAATGGCCCCACTTCAAGTAATTGATTCTACAAAGAAATTCTAAGCTAATACGCGAAATTAGATAAAATGACCAAAATGCCCCGCGGGCCCATGTCTCGGAATCGGGTAAAATTTATATTTTCAGAATCCTCATACTCTCACGAGTTCATGCATACCAAAATTATCCAAATCTAAGTCAAATTCCCGATCAAAAGTCAAATTTTAGGTCTAAGAACTTTCATCCAACTTTTTCCCAATTTTCATCTCCAATCCGAAATTAAATGATGAAACTAACTATATATTGATGGAATATAACTAGAAAGGGTTAAAGAATCGTTACCCAATAATCTCCTCTTCAATTTCCTCTCAAAATCGCCCTCTCCCGAGCTCCAAATCGAATTTCTAACTTATGAAACTAAACCCCGAAATTTCATATTTCTGCCTAGCTATTACCGCATCTTGTGGAACCATGGTCGCATCTGCGACTTCTCACTTAAGGCTCGATTTCTGCATCTGCGGCTATCCTATTGCAGATGCGGGGCCGCTTCTGCGGTCCCTGCTGTCTTTCCTCCTTTTCTGCTTCTGCTGTTACTCCGTCGCTTATGCGGCTCCGCAAAACTATCGGAAACATACGAAATCATCTCGAGGTCCCTAGGACCTCAACCAAACCTGTCAACCAATCCTAAAACATCGTTCAAACTTGTTCCAACCTTCGGAACGCTCAAAACAATATCAAAACACCTATTTTTCATCGGATTCAAGCCTAAAAATTTCAAAAACTCTAAAATATGCTTTCAATCGAAAAGTCTATCAAACCTCGTCCGAATGACCTGAACTTTACACACACATCACATTGAACACTACGGAGCTACTCCAACTTCCAGAATTCCATTCCGACCCTTGGATCAAAATCTACTATCGAACAGGAAACTTCAAAAATTTAACTTTCGGCATTTCAAGCCTAAATTAGCTACGGACCTCCAAAACACAATCTGAACACGCTTCTAAGCCCAAAATCACCCAACGGAGCTAACAGAACCATCAGATTTCCATTCCGAGGCCATCTTCACACTGTTCCGACTACGGTCAACTTTCCAACAATTAGCTCTCATTTAGGGACTAAGTGTCCCAAAACTCTCCGAAACTCAAAATTGAGCATCCCGGCAAATCTAAATAGTAGAAATAAACTTGAGGAAAGCAGTTAATAGGGGATCGGGGCGCAAATTTTTACGACGACCAGCCGGGTTGTCACATTACTGTTAAAGTTTTAGAGAGAAAATGGACAGAATATATTGCAAGGTATAATTTGCATACAAGGAATTGCTTCAATAAACTTTACTCTGAGAAGGGAAAATGGGTTCATGTGTACCTTGATGTGTATTTTTGGGCTGGTATGCTATCTACACAAAGAAGTGAAGGGATACATGCTTTCTTTGATGTATATATTACCCGTCAAAGCACTTTTAGGATGTTTGTTCACCAGTATGAGTTAGCTATAAGTGCTAAGCATGAGAAAGAGTTAGAAGCAGAATACAGGTCAAAGGGCTTTCAAATTGTGTGTGAGTTAATGTTCAAGAGGGAAGAGCAGGCAATTCAGTGTTATACGCGTATAGTGTATGAATTTTTCAAGACACAGCTAAGGAAATTGTATCATTGTGAAGTTAGCAGCCCCGACGATCATCAAGTTGTCCCCGGTGTTGAGAAAATCCTAGTTAGTGATTATTCAGTTATAAAAAAATGATAGAAATCCAGTTCAGTACACTGTTGAATATATGCCTATCAACGATTATTTTAGTTGTAGCTGCAAATGGTTCGAGTCTAGAGGGATACTTTGTCGCCATATACTCAAGATCTTGTCGCACAAGAAGATTGATAAGATTGATGAAATGTATATACTGACAAGGTGGAGAAGCGATGTTATTAGGCCACACTTGAATCGGTTCCATCAAGTTGGTTACCCAAACATGACTCCTGAGTACAAGACATACATGAGCATGTTGAAGTATTTTGACATGGCTTGTGATATAGCACTGGGCACTAGCGTGAAGGTTCAATATGCTAAGCATAATTTGAAGAAGATGGTACATGATCTTTAAAACTGGAACGACGAAATGATCATGCCAAACCCCGACCAGGATGACTCAGATGAAACTGAAGGCCCAACTCTACGAGATCCCCAATACACTAATTCACGTGGCAAGCGGCGTTTAAATCGATATAGAGGAAGAATTGAATACTACTTTACAAGATCACAGTCGCATGGTGTATTTGGAGGTAATAATGGCACAAGAACTGGCGTTAGAGGGGGGTGGTAGGAATGATGGCAATCGTGGTGGTAGAGGTGCTGGTAGAAGTGGTGGATGCATGGGTAGGGATAATGGGCAAGGCAGAGGTGAGAGGTAAAAACTTTGAGCATAATGGTACCCTAGGTGTGAATGAGGTATACTTTTGTGACTACATTTGATTTATTACTTAAACATATCATCTTTTCTTATAATGTTTGTTTGATTTTAATTGCAGCAAATTGACGTTGCACAATCGCAATCAAGCTTGTTTGATCTAAATGCCGAACTAGACTTGGAACTATAATAAAGAATATTGCTAAAACTTGGAGTTCTCAGTAGGCCTAATTGCATTGTTATTTTATTTGGTCCAGAACATTTTGAAGAAATTTTGCTTGTTTTGTATAAACCTTGGTATTTAATGATTTATGAAACTTAAACATATCAATTTTTTCTTATAGTGTTTTTTGATTTTAATGGCATTTTAGCTACTATATTATTGTTGCTATCTCTCCCCACGATTTTGGATTAGTTACGTTGTATTCTAACAAAAAGAGCTATTTGTAATATTGAATATAACCACTAATAAATTATTCTCTTTTTTTATCAACTTACTAATAAAGGTATTTCTAATATTAAATCCAACCAGAAATGCCCATAGACCCGCTGGTTGATCAAATCTCCAATTTCTTTCCTTTTACGTAGGTTCGAATCCCGGCTGTAACATTGTTCTTTCCCTTTTGTTTTCATTTGAAGAGTCTAGAGGTGGTTGAATTGTATTTAATATTTCGGTCTCCAATACTTTGATTCACTAATTAATACTCCCTTTGATATAGTTTATGTGAACCTATTTCCTTTTGTCACGACCCCGGTTCGCCCTCCGTGAACCATTGTGACGGCACCTAGTCTCTACGACTAGGTAAGCCTAAACTTGCGGAAGATAACCAAAACTTGCGGAAGTAAAACAATTTAAAAACAGAAATAAGGCAATAACAGTGTTAAATGTGCCGCTCGGCATACATCATATTTATATAGATCTCAAAACCAATATCTAAATTCAAGACCCGGAAACCCACGAATCACAAGCTAAGAAAAGGAAATACTACATAGCTCTAACTCTGGAATTTGTCTAATAAGAACAGATAGTACAGAAGGGCTAAATACTAAAAGCAGGAATAGAAAGGGACTACTCGGTCTGCGGACGCGGCAGATGTACCTCGAAGTCTCTAAAGCAGTCGCCTCCCTCAAGGATTGTAGGCCCGATCAGCAGTACCTGGGTCTATATATGAAAAACATGCGCAGAAGGGGCATAAGTACAACACAGCGGTACTCAGTAATAGCCAAGCCTAACCTCGGTTGGGTAGTGACGAGGAAAGTCAGGGCCCTACTGAGGTTAAACAAATATAAAGGTCAACAGTATAGGACATAACAGTATAAATAAGTACGGTAGTAAAATAACACAGGATATACAGAACAACAACAATTGTACAGAACACGGTAAACATGGAAAGGAAATACAGCTCAACACCAACAGTAACAATCAGGGATCTCCCAAGATACCGTCCTGTAGTCCCATCTTTACATATCCAGTGAATCTCCCAGGATACCATCCCGTAGTCCATCATATATATATGTACGAAGGATCTCCCGGGATCCCGTCCCGTAGTCCAACTCATAGTGCGCGGGGATCTACCAGAATCTCGTTCCGTAGTCCTAAATGTAAATACCCAGTACTGGGGGAATCTACCAGGTGCATTCCCGTAGTTCCATATAACTGTGCAGGGGGATCTACCGGGAATCTAACCCGTAGTCCCAAAGTAAACAGACAAGGGAGAGCTACCAGAATCCCACATCTGTAGTCCTAAAATAAATACACAGCAGTAGCAGGAAGATTAACAGAAATAGCAAAATTCATATTAAGGCAATAAGTGATTCTAGCCTAGCATGCTGCACAAAATTCAAGTAAGGCGGTTAAATCAAATGAAGCAATTAAGTCACTTAGACATGCTTTTCTAAGCTAACTACAGGCCTAATAGTGCAAGTAATAGAAACGGGAAAGGAAACATACTAGTAAGTACTTAAAGAAAATCGGATTTCCAACAATTAGCACAAGTACGCACTCGCACCTTATGTACAAGGCATTTCAATTACCAAATATACCAATCCTAAGGGGAAGGTCCCCCATACAAAATCAACCCAACACCACGCTCTTGCCATGAGTATTCGACTCCAAATGGCTCAAATCTATTCAATTCAACCGTATAATGTAAATAACACTTCAAGTACTGATTCTACAATTAAAGTCTAAGCTAATACGCGAAATTATGTAAAAATGACCAAAAGGCCCCTCGGGTCCACATCTCGGAATCGGGTAAAATTTACATTTTCAGAAACCTTGTACTCTCAGGAGTCTATACATAACAAGAACACTGAAATCGGAGTCCAAATGACCCCTCAAATCCTCATTTAAAGACCTCCTAAACTCAAGCCCTAATTACCCTTTTTCCCAAATTTCTCACTACTAATTGCGTCTTTAATCACATAAAAATGAGTTATGAAGTCAAGGATGTTACCTCCAAGCGATTCCCCTTTGTTTTCCTAAAAAATCTCTCTCAAAAGCTTCAAACCAGGATGAAAATGGTGAAAGAATCCCTCAAATTCGCGAAGACAACTATTTGTATGTTCTGCCCAGTGATTTTCCACATTTGCGACCCTGGGACCGCATATGCGGTTCCGCTTCTGCGGAACATGTGTCGCATCTGTGACTTTCACTTAAGGACCCAGCTTTCGTATCTGCGGAACTCTAACCGTAAGAGCTGTTCCGCTCCTACGACATCTCACTGCATCTTAGGTTCCTGGGGGAAATCCCAAATTTCGCTTCTGCAGTCCTCTTCGCTGCTTCTGTGGCTCCGCATATGTGGTCCCCAAACCGCAGATGCAAAAATACCAGAAGAACAACTGCTGCAACAACTTCAACTTCAAAATTTCCTCCGTTAACCATCCGAATTCATCCCGAGGCCATCGGGACCTCAACTAAAGGCATCAATATATCCTAAAACCTTATTCAAACTTGTACAAATCTTCAAACAACATCAAAATAACCAAAACACAACGGATTCAAGCCTAAGTTTCTAAAATCTTCTGAATTCCGCTTTCGATCAAAAACCCAACCAAAACACGTCTGAATGACCTGAAATTTTGCACACATATCCCAAATAACATAACGGAACTATTGCAACTCTCAAAATTCCATTCCGACTCTCGGATCAAAATCTCACTATCGAACCGGAAACTTCCAAAATTCAACTTTCGGTATTTCAAGCCTAAATTAGCTACAGACCTCCAAAACACAATCTGAACACGCTCATAACCCCAAAATACCCAACGGAGCTAACAGGGCCATCGAATTTCCATTTCAAGGCCGTCTTCACACTGTTCCAACTACAATCAACTTTCCAACACTTAAGCTCTCATTTAGGGACTAAGTGTCTCAAAACTCTCCGAAACTCAGAACCGAACATCCCGGCCATTCAAAATAGCAGAATAAACTTGGGGAAATCAGTTAATAGGGGATTAAGGCGTTAATTCTTAAGACGACCGGCGTTAATTCTTAAGACGATCGACCGGGTCGTCACCCTTTTTGGTCCGTTCCAAAAAGAATGATTTAGCTTAAACTTATAATTTTACCCTTAATGAGAAGCTTTTATAACCACACAAATAGTCTGGGCCCCTTTTTGACTTATATAGGACCACAAATTCCAAAACTCTTCCTTTTTTCTTAAACTCCGTGTCCATTCAAACAGGTTCACATAAATTAGAACGGAGGGAGTACAACTTTTCATTATTCGTGATGACCTTTTCAATTCTCTATGACCAAATTGTATTAAGATTTTCAAAAGTTTTTTTTAATTTATTTTTGTTCTAGGTTCCACTACATCCGAAAGAAGATGGGGAGGTGTAATTTCCAGTCCTCTTCTCAGTAGTTTAGGTTTTAGTCGTTTTTTTCCTTATACTAAATGTATAATATAATTTTCATAAACATGAAAAAATTATAACAAGCAAAAATCACAGATAATAATTTTACTCTCCTTAAAATAATAAGTATGACAATAATAAGAAAAATAACATACAAGATTATAAAAAATCATATTAATCCATAAATATTTTTATGACAAGGGTAGAACACATGACCTACATGAAAAACCTAAGCATTAGATGTTCCTATGTCACGACCCCAACCCCGGCCGTGATGGCGCCCAACACAATGCTAGGCAAGCCCGACCAACTAACATCTCACAATCTCGTTCTTTATAATTCAATGCCAATTTTCGATATTTAATCCCGATTTAATATAAAAAGAAGTATGAATTTAACAGATGAAATGTGCGGAAAACCATAATCACGAGAAATCTCTGTAAAACAGCCCACTGATCCGGTGTCACAAGTCTGAGCCTCTAAAACAAGGTTTCAACAATCTAATACAGAAATATACCTAAAATGCGGAATGATAAGTGGAGATAGAAGGAGAAATCGGGTCTGCGAATGCCATGCATCTACCTCGATAACTCCGATGAAAACAGAACGGCAGGAAAGCTCGCTCTATGCCTCAGGAATACCTGTACCTGCACACATGGTGCAGGAAATAATGTGAGTGCTCCGACCCAGTGAGTAATAACAATAAATAATGGCTGACAGTATGAAATCACGTAAAGGCACTAAGCAGTTCTATATCAAAACAGTAAAATCATTTAAACATCAGTGAATAAGGAAATCATGTGAAATTCTTTTAACCAGGTACAACAGATATAATCAGT